TGAGCAGTCCTGTGGAAAAATACATACAGAGGAGGTGTATCAATAGCCCCCTGTGACATTTGGGGGAGGCTTTGCTGTATAATACCATCATCTGCCCTGTGAGTGCATTCATTATTCCAGCAGTTATATCTCTCTAAACAGTATTACACTATTATTACATTTGTATCTATCTAGGAAAAAATGTAAACCTCGTTCTAATGTACTGTGTATACTTATGTCTGTCTTACTGGCAGCTGGGAGGTTGCAGCCTAGACACTTTCTAAAACTGCCTAATTCTCTTGAAATCAGATCTTTTATAATGTGACAAAGAGGGGATGCAGTGTTTGGAGTGGCCCTTTAAATTGTGTGGGAGTATTCCCAAACCGCTACTAACATTAGAATCTTTATCAAAAAGAAAATAGATATGTTGCTTCCAAAAAATGAAACAAGCTGCTTGTAAAAAAGATGTGTTACTATATTTGAAATATTATTTCGAATTGCCATTCCTAAAATCTAGTGGGAAAACAAACTCTCTACATTAGTAGGAGAAGGATCAACAAAGGAAGCAAGGTTTGCAGCTGGAAAAAATAGTCACTATGCAACAAAGTCCATGTTGTACAGGGATAGCCAGACCCTTCATCTTCCAGGGAATATAGTAGTATAATAAAAATGGCACTCCATAATCTAAATACAGAAATAAATAAACCAATCACTGTTTAGTAGATATACCTGCAAACCATGCATTTAACTATGCGTTTTTTAAATTTGGTGTATATTTAAAGACAGCTTGGAAAAAAACTGTAAATATATTATCAGCAGCCTTTGCAAGCCTTCCTTTTATTCCCCAGTCCAGAGCTTCTGTTATTGTCTAACAGAGAAAAAGGGAAGAATGTATCCACTTGGTTTCTTATTGGCATGCTACTTTAATAATATTACCTCCCCTTATTACCAGAGTCGAGCGAACACCGACTGTAAAGTTCGGGTTCGTACCGAACATTAAGTTTTTTGGGCCCCAGACCCAAACACGGACATATCACTGTATGTTCGGGTTGGAGTTCAGTGTTCAGCGATTTAATGGCGCTTTTTGAAAGGCTGCAGGCAGCCAATCAACAAGCGTTTGACTCGTATGCCCTTAAAAGCCATCACAGCCATACCTACTAATGGCATGGCCAGTGCAGCATGTGACCCAGCCTCTATATATAAGCTGGAGTCGCGTAGCACTGCACTCACATGAGGTCTTATTTGTGTATGGAGAGGATGCTGCCGCTGTGAGGGACAGCTTAGGAAAGAATTCTGCAAACTACTGCATTAGTGGGGTGCACTTCATATCTGAGAGTCAAATAGAAGCGTCAAATACTGCGGTAACAGCGGAATTGTAAACATTCTTATTTTCTGTGTGCTAAACTGCTAAATAGTACATTTGGTGCCTGCACTTCATATCTGAGAGTCAAATAGAAGCTTCAAATACTGCTGTCACATTGCAGTTTTAGAACTTACATTTTTTTGGGTGCTAAAAAGTACATTAGTAGGGTGCACTTCATATCTGAGAGTCAAATAGAAGCATCAAATAGTGCGCTTACAGCGCAGTTGTAAAAATTCTTATTTTCTGGGTGCTAATCTGCTAAATAGTACATTTTGGGGCCTGCTATTCATATCTAAGAGTCAAATAGAAGCGTCTAATAGTGCGCTTACAGCACAGTTGTAAACCTTCTAATTTTCTGGGTGCTAAACTGCTAAATAGTACATTTTGGGGCCTGCTCTTCATATCTGAGAGTCAAATAGAAGCGTCTGATAGTGCGCTTACAGCACAGTTGTAAACCTTCTAATTTTCTGGGTGCTAAACTGCTAAATAGTACATTTTGGGGCCTGCTCTTGATATCTGAGAGTCAAATAGAAGCGTCTCATAGTGCGCTTACAGCGCAGTTGTAAACCTTCTAATGTTCTGGGTGCTAAACTGCTAAATAGTAAATTTTGGGGCCTGCTCTTCATATCTGAGATTTAAATAGAAGCGTCAAATACCAATATAACAATATTGTAATTTGGGGGCAATACCCTCACAAGTCAAACTGAGAGGTCAGAGAAAACT